GTTGTTATTGGTCTGTTCAAGTTTTCTATCTCTTCCAGGAATAGTTTTGGGAGACTGTGTGTTTCTAGAAATTTGTCCATTTCACTTAGATTGTCGAATTTGTTGCCATATAGTTGTTCATAGTAGTTGTTAATGATCTTTTGTATTTCCGTGGTGTTGGTTGTTACGTCTCCTCTTTCATTTCTGATTTTGTGTATTTGGGTTCTCTCTCTTTGTTTCTTGGTGAGTCTAGCTAAGGGTCCATCAATCTTGTTTATCTTTTCGAAAAACCAGCTTGAAGAGACTGTCTTGACTCCACTGTATGCGCTTGCCACCTTTGTCAAATATTAATTGAGCATATTGTCTTAGGTCAATTTCCGGGTTCTCTGTTCTGTTCCATTGATCTATCTGCCTGTTCTTGTGCCAGTACCAGGCTGTTTTGATTACAGTGTCTTTGTAGTATAACCTGATATCTGATAATGTGATCCCTCCTACTTTGTTCTTTTTTTTAAGGTTGCTGTGGCTATTCGGGGTCTTTTTTGGTTCCATATAAACTTTTGGAGTATTTGTTCTAGTTCTGTGAAATATGTCATTGGTATTTTGATGGGGATTGCATTGATTCTGTAGATTGCTTTGGGTAGTATGGACATTTTAATGATGTTAATTCTTCCAATCCATGAACAAGGTATGTGCTTCCACTTTTTTATATCTTCCTCTATTTCTTTTTTCAATGACCTGTAGTTTTCTATGAAGAGGTCCTTTACTTCTTTGGTTAGGTTTATTCTTCGGTATCTTAATTTTTTGGCTGCGATGGTAAATGGGATTGCTTTTTTAGTTTCTATTTATATGAGTTTATTATTGGTGTATAAGAATGCCATCACATTTCTTGACGTTAATTTTGTATTCTGCTACTTTATCAAATTCATTTGTTAAGTCTAGTGGATTTTTGATGGAGTCTTTAGAGTTTTCTATGTACAATATCATGTCATCTGCAAATAATGACAGCTTCACTTCCTCCTTTCCAATTTGGATCCCCTTTATTTTTTCTTCAGGTCTAATTGATGTGGCCAGGACTTCCAGTATTATGTTGAATAAGATTGGTGAGAGTGGGCATCCCTGTCGTGTTCCCATTCTTAAGGGGAATGCTTTTAGGTTTTGCCCATTGTTGGCTGTAGGTTTTTTAAATATGGTTTTTATTATGTTGAGATATGATCCCTCTATTCCCACAATGCTGAGCGTTTTTATCAGAAATGGGTGCTGGATTTTGTCAAATGCTTTTCCAGCATCTATTGATATGATCATATAGTTCATTTTGTTTATGTGATGTATCACATCTATTGATTTGAGAATATTGTACCATCCTTGCTTCACTGGGATGAATCCCATTTGGTCATGGTCAATAATTTTTTTGATATATTGCTGGATCTGATTTGCTAATATTTTGTTAAGAATTTTGGCATCTATGTTTATCAGGGATATTGGCCTGTAGTTTTCTTTCTTTGTAGTGTTTTTTATCTGGTTTTGGAATTAGGATTATGCTGGCATCATAAAATGAGTTTGAAAGTATTCCGTCTTCTTGGATTTTTTTGAATAGTTTGAGGAGAATGGGTATTAGCTCTTCTTAGAATGTTTGGTAAAACTCCCCCATGAAGTCATCCGGGCCTGGGCTTTTGTTTGCTGGGAGTTTCTTAATTACATCTTCATTTCCCTTTGTTGTTATTGATCTGTTCAAGTTTTCTATCTCTTCCTGGTTCAGTTTTGGGAGGCTGTGTGTTTCTAGAAATTTGCCCATTTCTCCTAGATTGTCCAATTTGTTGGCGTATAATTGTTCATAGTATGTTTCGATGATCCTTTGTATTTCTGTGGTGTCAGTTGTTACTTCTCCTCTTTCGTTTCTGATTTTATTTGGTTTCTCTCTTTTTGTTTCTTGGTGAGTCTGGCTAAAGGTCCATCGATCTTGTTTATCTTTTCAAAGAACCAGTTTTTTTTGTTTCATTGATCTTTTGAAATTTTTTTTTTTTTTTTATCTCTATGTCATTTATTTCTGCTCTGACCTTTACTATTTCCTTCCTCCTACTAGCTCTGGGTTTTTCTTTTTGTTTACTTTCTAGTTCTTTAAGTTGTAGGGTTAGAAAGTCAATTAGGAAATTTTTTTGTTTCTTGAGGTAGGCCTGTAGTGCTAGAACTTCCCTCTCAGGACTGCTTTTGCTGTGTCCCATATCATTTTGTGTTGTTGTGTGTTTGTTTTCATTGGTTTCCAGAAAGTTTTTAATTTCTTCCTTGATCTCGTTAGTAACCCATTTGTTGTTTAATAACATACTATTCAGCCTCCAAGTGTTTGAATATTTTTGTGTGTTTTTATTGTAATTGAGTTCTATAAGAACTACTTGATTTAAAGAATATAAAAAAATATGGTGAGCATTTTTATGGGGAATTTGTTTGTTATAATGCTTCAAAATCTTGTCTTAGGGTTGTTTCAAAAATTATTCCTCCATTGAACCCCCACATTAAGGCCAGCATAACAGTTAAGAACATTAGACAAACCTGATCTCATCCTTGCTCCTTCTAACTAGGGGACTTGGGGCATGTTATTTAATTTAGCTCAATCTCAGTGTTTTTTTTTTCCACATGAAATAATAGGCTTAGTTTATCTCGTATATAAGCTATTTGGATCAAGCTAAATTTTTCACCTTCAAAATAATGTTTCTTATATGTAAGCCAAATCATTATGCTGTACATTTAGTACTTGTATGGTGCTGTATGTAAATTATATCTCAACAAAACTGGAAAATCAATGTTCTTCATTAAATACAGTTTTACTATAAAACTGTCATACTCTTCTTTGTCAGGTGACATTTTCATTTTAACTGAAGTAGTATTACTCAAGTATATCCATGCTTGTCTGCCTCCACTGTCATCAATCTTTATTATTCTCAAAGCCCTTTACTAAAGTAAAGGCACAAACTGATCATAAAAAGTGATTGGAAGCTGGTTCCTCCCAATTCCCTTTTGGAATTCCAAAGAAGAAAATGGCCATTTCATGTTGGATTGCAAGCTCATTGTGATTTTGCATGAGGGAAAGAGTGAAAAGAAGTCATTTACTAAATGTTTGGATTGTTATTAGAATTTCTCTTCCTTAGAAGATTTATATGTGAGTCCCAAGCACTTTTAGCACAAGAAACAAGAAAGTTTTGTAGCTCTGGGTCATTGTTAAAATGTCTCCCAAAGCATGGGAGGGACATTGGAGAATTCATTTTGCTTTTACCCCAAGACCAGTAAGTGAGACAAAGGAATAAAGGGGCAGAAAGGTAGAAGACAGAGGGAGGTAGTGAACGGAGCAGTAAGAAGAAAGGAAGACAGCTAGAGGAGGAAGTGGTAGGGAAATGGTGACCAGCTTCTTTCTAACCTCCAGTTCCCCAGCAAAAGGACAAAGGCAGAAGTGGCTACTCCTTCCTGTGCAACCTTCTGTCTGTTGTGGCAAGGTCAGCTTTTTTTCTATTTGCAGGAAACTATTTTCATTGGAGATGCTTTCCCAAAACAGGGGGGAAAAGTGTCACAGAAAAGTTAGGTGTATAAAAGGAAGTGTTAAACGTGTATGTCCTACCAAGAAAACACTTCTGCCTCCCCAAATGTCAAGGAATAGAAACACATCTCATGAGAAATATGTAAATACATATATTCTATTTATTTCCCCTAATAGTTTGTTATAGGAAGACTTTAAAACTCTTCTCTAAGCAAAAGTACTCAATAAACAAAAGTGATTGCATAAGTATTATTTAGTACTTGGGCAGTACTTGACTCTAAAGGGTGATTATATACTTATTATTTAGTGTTAATATTTAGTATTTTTTTATAAAGCTCTGTGGTGGTAGGGATAATGCCTTTCATTTGTTTGTTTTGATTGTTTTTGCATCCCCAGTGTCACATTTGGCAGGCCTATACTAGGTGCTCAATAAATAGTGAAGATCCTAACTCAGAGAAGTTATGATCTCTGGTGGTAATAATTGGGCAGAGTCTTAAATAAAAAAAATATTTTGTGGTATGAGCAGGCAGTCTCATTTCTAGGTCTCTATCCTCCAATAATTATGACATGTGCAGATAAAGGTATATATGCAATATTCTTTGCAGCTTGTTTGCAAAATTAACATTGGAAAAGCCCAGTCACCAACAGATAAATGGTGAAATAACCTAGGGGACCTCCAAACAATGGCATACAATGTTGCTGTTTAACAGAATAAAGTAATAACCTAGATATATATCCATATCATACCACATGTTAAAAGCAAGTTGTAGACTAATATATACAGCATGATTCCATTTTGGCTTTCTTCAATGTGCCTTTAAATTCGAGACTGCTTTATTGTAGTAAAAGAATTTTTATGTTTGTGGTACACTATATCATGCAAATCTATTTAAAATATGAATGTGTATCTCATTCATTCATTTATATTAGCTGGATGTCATGTACAACTATGCAGTTTCTGCTCTTCATGCAATATTTGGACCAGCAGCTGTACTGGCCAAGAGGTGCACCCCAACTGGAAGCCATTTTAGAATAGGAAGGAGGGTCTGTAACTGAGACCAAAAGTTTGACAATGGCCAATGACAGCCCTGGCATCAGTTACATAATACTGTGCTTAAAAATGAACAAAACTATAATTCCTTATATAGTATAGTCAGTCTTTTTGCCAAGTGGGTTTTTCTTCACCACTCATCACTGACCCTCTGTGACCTCCAACCATCTCTTGTGTCAAAAGGAATGTTGTTCCTCAAAGCAGAGACCGAAGGCACCTGTCCCATTTCTCTGTTGACCCGCCTTGCATTCGTAGATAAGCTACCTCCTCTCTCCACTCCCACTTCTGAACCCCGGCAAGACTTAGTCTACCTTCTAGAGCAGACCCCTTCCTACTTATTCACTCTTCATTCAAAGGACTCCATAAATGCTTCCTTTACCAGGGAGTTTTTACTGGTGAATTAATTGGCACACAATGAAAGAAAAACAGAAGCCAGTAATTGCCAACAATACAGACTAAATACTTTATTAGGTTCCAAACTGAGAAAATGTGGACCTATTTAGTATAAATCCACCACCCTCCGCAAAGAGCCAGCCTTGGCATCCCCCGCCCCCCAGTCGTGGTAGCGCCTGTACTCTTGGGGCCTCAGCAGGTACTGCCGCCCTTGGTAGTTGGGCATCTCGTAGAGGACCCAGCAGCCCTCCAGCACCTGCAGGGAGCGGACCTCACCCAGGTGGAAGCGGTCCTGGATGCAGGAGCAGTCCTCGCTCAGCTCCATCATGTGGCCTTTGTGGTCCTCTCTCTCATAGAGCCGCAGCCTGTGGGAGCCCATCTGCTTGGTCCAGACAGAGAAGAAGCAGAAGGAGCAGAAGCAACAGGACAACAGGTGAACTTGGTGGGTTGGGGCAGGACTGTCTGTAAAAAGCTGAGCCTCTAAGATGACTGTGAATGCTGTGTATGGATCTGTGTCCTACTAGCATTAACAAATATTTGCATACTTGCTTTCTATTTCTTATCTAGGAGATGTAGTTTTAAAGAGATCCAAAGTCTGGGTTTGAGTCCTCTGAGAGCTCAAATATCTTGTTTTCTTAACTCTCAATTACCAAATTCCTTGATTCCTAGGCGTTAAACCAATATTAGAGGAAAAATATAAAGTTTTTTGACTAGTATTCTTTTGATCTGAGTATGATCTCCCAAACGTATATACATATACATTTTCCACTAAAGTAAAATTTTAAAAATCACATACTTCAGTGAAAATTGATTTAGTCCCTTGAAATCATAATTCAACTAATTTTCCAAATTAAGACCAATTACTTTTTCCAAAGTTGAACATTGCCTTTGGATAGTCTATACTAACAATAGAGTTTTCAATATTTACTAGTCTACAGTAGAACATTTTTTGTTCATAATCAATTCTTTTACCATAGGTAAACATTTATTTATTAGAAATACTGCCTCCTTATGTCCAATCAATTTTCCATTTGCAAGTTTTGTTTTATATCCACTATGTTATTACATTTGTTAGACAACTTTTGATTCACCTATTGGTAGCAAACATTAAAAATAAAATGGTCTTTTTCCCTAGGTGAATTCTTCCATATATTCAGTGCTGTTTTTGTGCGGGTATCTATCTGGCTTAGGCAAGTATCTGAAGCCCACTTAATCCTTGGGTGAAGCCCTCCTTCGCCCTAACCCCCCTCAGTAATACTGTGAGACCCCTTAGGCAGCGCGATGGCCACCAAGCCACACTCACTGGGGGGATGAGGCGGCAGGAGCGGACCGAGTCGCTCAGGCCCATCCACTGCTGGTGGTCCGAGTAGTCGCCGCGCCGCAGGAAGTACTGGGGGCCCTGGAAGTTGGGGCGCTCATACAGCATCCAGCAGCCGCTGTCCACGCGGATGGAGCCGCAGCGGCTCAAGTAGGGCTGCAGGTTGGGGTGGTCGCTGCTGCACTCGAAGCAGCGGCCCTGGAAGCCGCGGTCCTCGTAGAAGGTGATCTGTAAAGGAAGAAGAATTCCGAATTAAATCATCTGCTCCCAATAGATCTTGTATAGAGGTTTCTTTTCTGTTTTGTGTTTTAATTTAACGTGTGTCCCTCTCACCTTGCCCATGGCTGGTGACACGTGCGAGCTCAGGGGACGCGGGCAGCGGGCTATATAGCAGGCCGGCTGCTGCGCTGGCGGGAACAGCACAAAGGGGCCGGGGGAGGGGATTTCGTGGATCCCTTACATGCTGCGTTCAGTGGAAATGCCTGTGGCGTTGCCCTCGTTTTCTGGTATATTCTAACGCTGTCCAGTACGAGTCCCAGATGAGTCCCTACAGTTGCTTTTATTCGGATTCTCAGTGTTTTCTAAATTTATCAGCACATCAGTCTGAACTTTTGACCTGAAATGCATGTGTCTGCACATATGATTCAGTTACACCCCATGTATTTTCTGGGGAAAATCTGTGCCTGTATAGAAGTGTCTCAGAATTCCAGGGGTGCTGTCGGGAAGCAAAATGCCACAGCACTGACTACTTTTTCTTGTTAACAGAGACCACTCTGATCTAAATATTTTTTCTTTCCGCGATTTGCCAGTGTAGTACAGGACATGAATCTGGATTCTGATCTTTGCTAGCTTTGACAGAGTTGACCAGATGCTTTAAGGCATAGCTATTAACTTCCTCTTTGTGTACTTTATGTAATTAGAAATCAGAGGCTGGTAGTGAACTTGTGATAAGAACGAAGGCAAAGGTCACTGGGTCCAAGACTGAGATGTTTATTGCTTCATAGATTGCTTTCCTTTTTCCAGGGCTGGGGGAGGCAGCAAAGCTTCAGGGACTGAGAATGTCCACTTAGTAGCCACATAAACTCTCAGAGCATGAGTTATTTCATAATACTTGTCTCATGGTATACAGCACGTTGGATGAGAAAGAAATGAAGAAAAAAGGAAAAAGGAAGGAAACAAGAAAGGAAGGAAGGCAGGCTGACCTTTGCTAGAGCTGACCTGGCACTCAGAGCTAGGCTCTGTTATTCCTCTATTAGACCTAAACAATCTCACAGAATACTAAATGCAGGCAAGGTTACTCTGAGATCATGATGAAATGAGACAAAATAAGGCCATGTCACAATTTTGTCTAAGCACTGACAAAAACAAAGTCAGTGTGCCACCCACAAAATACCAAACACCGTCTCTCTCAGCTGAAATGTTTAACGGCTACTTCTTTACCAACTGCAGCTTTATTCTTGTTCTAGGCTCCCCTTCCCATAAGCAGATTTATTGAGATATCCAACCATAAAATTACCTCTGTTTTCTGACAACATCCAATCTGAAGTGAACCCCTGCTTTTCTAGATCCTTCCCCCAATCACCCAACTAAAGTAGAAATCCTATTAATATACTCCTTCCAGCACCCTCTTATGGAGACAGCTTATGCTTCTCCACAGTGTGTGTCTTCCCTCCATCTAACAAGTAATAAAACCAACTTGTTTTGTGATAAGGGTTCCTAATGATCTTTGGCTAAAGGACATTGACATGAATAAATGAGATTATGTGTATCACATGTTTGGCACCTGGTTGGCACAAATGAGCAGTGAATAAATATTTTATATTGGTAATATTATTACTTATATTAATGACATTATTAAGGATGACTTCAGCCTGTTTATCTCTCTCAAAGATATTCAATTCTCTCAAAGATGCTTGAAAAATCTTTCTGCTATGAGGAAACAGAGACTCTAAATGAAGCACTAGACCAAATGGATTTAGTAGATACCTACAGAGAATTACACCCCAAAACTGCAGAATACACATTCTTCTCAAGTGCACATGGGACATTCTCAAAGATAGACCACATGATAGGACACAAACTAAATCTCTACAAGTTCAAGAAGACTGAAATCATATCAAGCATCTTCTCAGATCACAAGGGTATGAAACTAGAAATCAATTGCAACAAGAACATGCAAAGACATTTCAACACATGGAGGCTAAATAGCATGTTATTAAACAATGAATGGGTTACCATGGAGATCAAGGAAGAAATTAAAAACTTCCTGGAAACCAATGAAAAGGAACACACAACAACACAAAATCTATGGGACGCAGCAAAAGCAGTTCTGAAAGAGAAGTTCATAGCACTACAGGCCTACCTCAAGAAACAAGAAAATTTTCTAATTGACTGTCTAACCTCACAACTTAAAGAATTAGAAAGCAAACAGAAAGAAAACCCCAGAGCAAGTAGAAGGAAGGAAATAGTGACGATCAGAGCAGAAATATGACATAGAGACCAAAAAAACAATTCAAAATATCAATGAAACAAAGAGCTGGTTTTTCGAAAAGATAAATAAGATTGATGATGGACCCTTAGCTAGACTCACCAAAAAACAAAGAGAGAGAACCCAAATACACAAAATCAGAAATGAAAGAGGAGAAGTAACAACTGACACCACAGAAATACATAAGATCGTTAACAGCTACTATGAACAATTATATGGCAACAAATTCGACAATCTAAGCAAAATGGACAAATTTCTAGAAACACATAGTCTCCCAAAACAGGACCGGAAAGAGACAGAAAACTTGAACAAACCAATAATAACTAAGGAAATTGAAGAGGGAATCAAGACTCTCCCAGCAAACAAAAGCCCAGGCCCACATGGCTTCACGGGGAAGTTTTACCGAACATTCAAAAAAGAACTAACACCCATTTTCCTCAAACTATTTCAAAAAATTCAAGAGGAAGGAAGACTTCCAAACTCATTTTATGAGGCCAGCATAATTCTAATTCCAAAACCAGATAAAGACACTACAAAAAAAGAAAACTACAGGCCAATATCCCTGATGAACATAGATGCCAAAATCCTGAACAAAATACTAACAAATCAGATCCAGGAATACATCAAAAAAATTATTCACCATGACCAAGGGGGATTCATCCCAGGGATGCAAGTCTGGTACAATATTCCCAAATGAATAAATGTGATACACCACATAAACAAAATGAAGGATTAAAACCACATGATCATATCAATAGATGCTGAAAAAATCTTCGACAAAATCCAGCATCCATTTCTGATAAAAATGCTCAGCAATGTGGGAATAGAGGGATCATATCTCAACGTAATAAAGGCCATATATGAAAGACTTACAGCCAACATCATACTCAATGGGCAGAAACTAAAAGCATTTCCCTTAAGAACAGGAACAAGACAGGGATGCCCACTTTTGCCACTTCTATTTAACATAGTACTGGAAGTCTTAGCCACAGCAATCAGACAGGAAGAAAAAATAAAGGGGATCCAAATTGGAAAGGAGGAAGTGAAACTGTCATTATTTACAGATAACATGATATTATACATAGAAAACCCTAGAGACTCCATGAAAAATCTACTAGACTTAATAAATGAATTTGGCAAAGTAGCAGGATACAAAATTAATGTCAAGAAATCGATGGCATTCTTGTACACCAATGATGATCTCACAGAAAGAGAAACTGAAAAAAAAATCCCATTTATCATCATGGCAAAAAAATTAAGATACCTAGGAATAAACTTAACCAAAGAAGTAAGGGACCTATTTGCAGAAAACTACAGGTCATTGAAAAAAGAAATAGAGGAAGATATAAAAAAGTGGAAGCACATACCTTGTTCATGGAATGGAAGAATTAACATCATTAAAATGTCCATATTACCCAAAGCAATTTATAGATTCAATGCAATCCCCAACAAAATACCAATGACATATTTTACAGAACTAGAACAAATACTTCAAAAGTTCATATGGAACCAAAAAAGACCTCGAATAGCCACAGTAATCTTGAAAAAGAAGGACAAAGTAGGTGGGATCACAATACCAGATATCAGATTATACTACAAAGCCACTGTAATCAAAACAGTCTGATACTGGCATAAGAACAGGCATATAGACCAGTGCAACAGAACAGAGAACCCAGAAATGGACCCAAGGCAATATGCTTAATTAATATTTGACAAAGGTGGCAAGAGCATACAGTGGAGTAAAGACAGCCTCTTTAATAAATAGTGCTGGGAATATTGGACAGCTACACGCAAAAAAATGAAACTAGACCATCAACTTACTGCATACACAAAAATAAACTCAAAATGGATAAAAGACTTAAATGTGACCCGTGATTCCATAAAAAGGGAAAAAACAGGATGAAAAAGATTTAAAATCTGGACTTTGTATTACAAATTAGGATATGCAGGAGACACTGGTGTGTGTTGGGTACGTAGTTGGACACTAAAGTTATCTCAATTGTTGGTTCATCTTATTGGGGAAAAGGTTATTGGGATCCTATAGGCTATCCTTTCTTCCATTCCACTCTTTCTGGCTGCCTTCTCCTCAGACCCTTTCACTTCTTTGAAGTCCCAGCATTTACTTTAGAGGGAGAGAAAGAGAAAGGGTGGAATTAGGAGTTAGTTTGGGCATAATCTTCCCCTGGCCACTCCCCACTGCAGATTTTTCTTTATGTTGGGATTAGAGCGAGAATGCCATTCTCTTCACCTGTGCCGATTTTCAACAGCAACCGATTTTCAAAAGAAAAACTTGATCCAATGAGATCCAGGGACTCTAATTTTATGAGCTTCCAATTCAGGTGTTTCAGGATAATTGCCATATCTGAGGTTGTGATAAAACTACTTGGCAAATAGTGTAAAATTCAGCACTCCAAGAAACTTTGGGTTTCTAATTCATATTAGATATATTATTATTGGCAAACAGAGGACCATCCAGGAAGCCAGCACTAGTGCTGGGAGTTTAAAGTTTGAAGAATTGAGATTTAGGGACAATGAATACCAAAGACTTCAAGAATATGACTCTTTTCCAGGGAAGGAACCTTTATAAGTGTCCAAACCATGTGCTCCAGTTCCCCTGGGACAGTCTTGATTCATGCATCTTTTTTTTTTTAATCCTCACCCGAGGACATTTTTCCTTTTTTTTGTTCATATAGAGTGGGAGAGGGAGAGAGAGAAACAGACAGACAGACAGACATTGATGTGAAAGGGACACATCAAATGGCTGCCTCCTGCATTACCCAACCAGGGCTGGGGACAAACTGCAACGGTGGTACGTGCCCTTAGTGGGAACCGAACCCGGGTCTCTGTGGACCGCAGGCCGACGCTCTAACCACTGAACCAAATCGGCCAGGGCTTGATTCATGCCTCTTGCCCCAGTGTAATCCTTAACAGTATACCCTTTTATTCTAAAAAATGACTCAGTTTAAGAAATAAAGTTTGCTCTGTTTATAAGCCACTTGGGTAGTACATTTGGAGAGTTTGAGGGCATGGGATGGACAGAGACTCTATAATAACCATGTAGACACAGCTAAGAACAGAGAAGAGAGGAGCAAGAAGGGAAAGAAGACCAGATCACCCAACAGCAGGTTGAAGCTTGCAGACCAGCCAGAGCAGGGCCATCTACTATTGTTGCACTGTAATGATCTAAATTTGCATCTCTCTCTTAGAACCTGCATAATTAAGCTGATTGCACACATTAATGCTTTATGTGAGAGATGGTTCAGGAGTTAAAGGAACTATGTGTTTCATCTGGGTCAGCATGATGCATGGGAGGGATGAGGGAGATACACATGGGAAGGCAAGATGATCCACCAATGACAAGTTAGGAGTTCAGAGTAGATGGTGACTTGAAGAAACAAACCATTCATTCTCTCTAGAATTAAAAGAGACATTGTCCAGCTGGTGTGGCTCAGTGGTTGAACATTGACCCATGCACCAAGAAGGCACCAGTTCGATTCCCGGGCAGGGCACATGCCCAGGTTGTGGGCCCAATCCCCAGTGTGGGGCATGCAGGAGGCAGCCAGTCGATGTTCTCTCTCATCGATGTTTCTACCTTTCTCTCCCTCTCACTTTCTCTCTCAAATCAGTAAAGAAAAAAAGACATATATCTGAATTTGAGTCATTTTGTTAGAATTTCAAAGGCTGAAATACTTAAGATAAATTTTGAACTGAAGCTGTCAGCTTCATGGAATAACTTTTTAAGAAACAGTCCAAAGAACTACATTTAATTATTTAGTCACTGCAGGACGTGATTGAGGGTGTTGTTTACTCAGTGCCCTCTTTACAGACCCACAGGAAAGCTTTCCTTTAGGTTTCAGTACTGGGAATGGTTAGGCTTGTCTTGAATCATTTGTTTATTGTATGGACTCTGTGAGTTGTGGAACTGACCTTGTCTCCTTCTCTCCCTTGGCTGCTGGGTCCAAATCTGGCTCTATCTACAGCGGACAAAGTGCCTTACAGAATGCAGCACAAACTTGAACTTCACCACTGGCTCCATCTCTCTCTCTCTCCTACGCTTGTTTATCCTCTGCTGCAATTTCCTCATTCATTTTCATTTCTTTAATTTATTATGCTGTCATTTTTTTTATTAGTGACTTTAATCCATTCTTAAAAAACAAAGGAAACAAACATACAATCAAACTCCAGAAAATTTAAATTCCTTATTTTCCGTTTAATATTATTTTCTACGTATAATCATAATATTTTATTTCCCATTAAAATGATAGGAGGCTGACTTTCCCTGTGTGCAGGTGGTTTTGGTAAAAATCCTGAAATTCTTCTACAGAGCATGTATAGAAAGCTGACAGGGAATTATATTTGGACTAGAAATCTCATGGAGGAATGGGGTATTGGAAATGAAACTGGGAGAAAAGGAACAGTGGCTGTTAGGCTGGGCATGCGATAGGTGGGAGGGGCCAGTTTATTTGTTTGTTTATGGAGCTGGAGTAACTGTAGATGTTGAGAATGGCTTTCGTCATCAGCTAAGACTTGGACTATATAAACGGAAGATGGTGGGGACAACCAGGAAGGGCAACTTGAGGTCTTTCAGTAAGTACTATTCATCACTGTAGCTGTAAAAATATCCTTGTAAGACCAACCACAAATGGCTTTAGTACAATTAAATTAAACTTTCTTTGAGCTCACATGGTTTAGTCTTTAAAAGAATGCTGATAATAATGTCCTCTCCTTCTCATAAGATATTGTTTCTCCATTTTGAAAACAGGTCATTCTTTTCGCCAAGTGCTAAAATCGCAAATGAATGCTTAGTAGGTTGAAAGAAAGGCAGAACTCTGTTAGTGCCAGAAACACAAGCTAAAATATTTTATTAGATTCTAAAGGAGAAAAGTAGAGAATGTGAATACTTCAGTAAAAATCCATGGCACGTCTAAAAGAACCAACTTTGGCATTCATAGCACCCCAGTCAAGATATCTTCTGTACTCCCCGGGTCTCAGGAGGTACTGCCTTCCCCTGTAGCTGGGCATCTCGTAAAGAACCCAGGAGCCCTCCAGCACGTTAAGGGAGTGGATTTCATTGAGGTGGAAGCGGTCCTGAAGAGAGATACAATCGTCTGTGACCTCTGACATTTGTCCTCTGAAGTCTTCTCTCTCGTAGATCCTCATTCTGTAAGTGCCGGAGTGCTAGGGTGACAGACAGAAAAGAAAAAGTAAATGACCACAGATAAAGAGAAATTGAAGTTCTGGTCCCCACCCCTCTCTGGCCACACATGCTCGGAAGTTCTGAGTTTAAGGTTGTCTCCAGAACAGCCAATCTTCGGAGTGAAAGAGCCTTCCTGGCACCCCATCACCCACTGGAAGTGAGTCTAATAATTTATGGGTAAAACAAGGAACAGAACTCAGCAGCCCTTCAAATGCTACCAAATCTCTGGCCTTAGGAATTAAGATTTGCCTAAAATAAAATGGATTACTTTGAGAAATCCCTTCTCAAAGGTAAAAAGTGAAAGTCATTGGAAAGCCCAGTGTCATTTGATAAATTACTCTTGTTAAAAAAAGAATCAACATTTAGCTGTCTTCTGCAAAACTGTTGATATAGTGTTTATGTACACTATGGAGCATAGGATTACGAAGCTCTTGTGAAAAATTAAGATGACACATTTTCATAACTTCAGTTTCAGTTCAGATTTCAACATATTTGACTCTTTAGCTTCCATTCTGGCCTCTCAACTACTCATTTCCCTCGGCTGCAAAAAGCATTTGCTGTAAGTTCTGTTTGGGTGACACACTATCCCCCATCTCCCCTACTCCATTCTCCTAAGAACACTGCAATCACTCTCTAGGACATACTGAATCTCAAACTAAAGTTTTGGATCTGGCCCTTCCACTAATTTATAACCTCTAAATGAGCTGAGAGGTGCTGACCATGAAATTAGAATAGAAACTAGAAGACGGGGTCTCTCTTCTCCAGGAGGATAATCACATAGAAAAGTGAGCCAACCCAGGCAAAAATATTTTTTATCAATTAAACTGACACGGATTGTATTTCTCAATTTTGCTATATTGGATTTCTGAGTTGATAAAACTCGGAATCACCACTTTAAGAAATTATATCTTGAACAGGTGGTAACTTCAGTCTCCTCTATGTTCTGCTTTTTCTTAGTCTTTGGTCATTTAATTTGGGATTACATTTAAAATACAAAATCTAGGAACATGTGATTAAAAAAAAAAAAGAAAAGAAAAGAAAAGAAATGGCCCTGCTGGTGTGGCGCAGTGGTTGAGCATAGACCCATGCACCAAGAGGTCTCTGGTTCGACCCCAGTCAGGGCACATGCCCAGGTTGTGGGCCAAATCCCCAGTGGGGGGCATGCAGGAGGCGGCCAATCGATGTCCTCTCTCAGCGATGTTTCTATCTCTCTCTCCCTTCCCACCCCCCCCCTCTCCCACTCTATCTGAAGATAAATGGAAAAATATCCTTGGGTGAGGGTTAAAAAAAAAGGAAACAGTTCATGAAGCATGACTTCCCATCTGAGACCCCCTAATAGAATGAACTGCAGGCACTCGGCTCACTTCTGCTCTCTACTTGGAACTACTGGATTGAAGAAGGATCTGTTTTCATGGCTTTCATTTCCAGGGACGGAAGACAGAGCCACACTCACTGGGGGGATGAGGCGGCAGGAGCGGACCGAGTCGCTCAGGCCCATCCACTGCTGGTGGTCCGAGTAGTCGCCGCGCCGCAGGAAGTACTGGGGGCCCTGGAAGTTGGGGCGCTCATACAGCATCCAGCAGCCGCTGTCCACGCGGATGGAGCCGCAGCGGCTCAAGTAGGGCTGCAGGTTGGGGTGGTCGCTGCTGCACTCGAAGCAGCGGCCCTGGAAGCCGCGGTCCTCGTAGAAGGTGATCTGTACAATTAGAGACACGGGAGCATGAGCTCTTTGCCCCGCTGATGAGGCTGCGACAGGGCAAAGGCTGAGCCTCAGGTCCCCGGCACTTACCTTTCCCATCTCGGAGAGGAGGCGTTGGTTCGCGCTGTGTGGGACCAGGGGGCCCTCCGCTCTATATATAGCAGCCCTGACTGCTGCCTCCGCAGGAAACCACACAAAAGGGGCCCATTTCGGTGAGCAGAGGATTTGCAAGCTCCCCGCTCCCCTCCCCGCTGGTCGCTGGGGTTGCTGAATGGTTTATTCTCCTTCTTTCTGGTAGGTTCGGGTAGTTCTAATTCACTACAGCTGTTGTTGCCACGAAAATGAAAAGTCGTTACTCTTTGAGTTGAGCAAAAGGATGAGAGAACTTCTATCCTCATGCTTTTATTTCATAGCCTTCTCTGCCTAATTGACCCCTCAAAGGTCACTAAACTGAGCAATGTAGTCTGCTCAGGGACTGCTGTTTTTTGTTTGTTTGTTTTTAGGAAAACAAAAACAAAAAACTTCTTAAAAGTCAGAATTTAAATAATAAGGAATCTTAAGGGAGAGGGGATCAAGTGAAATAGTCTGAAAATGCTTTGAAAAGCATAGAGCTTAGTTCAAATTCAAGCTTCTATGACCATCATTGTTATTTGGGACTTATCTTGAGTAAAACTGATACCTGACCAGAAATTCATAAGCTCCCGAAGGCTGGGAATTCTCGTCCTTTCTGCCCCTGGGCCCTAGAGCAGCGGCCTGGCCCACCGTTGGCCCGCAGTATGTGGCTTTGACCTGCAAGAGAGCAGAGTCATCGCCTGTCTCCCTTTCACACATCATCCCAGGAGCCTGAATTTCCTTCTGCTGGTGGCTGCCCAGAGTTCTGCCTGCTGTTTGATGTCCCTGACCTCCTTCAGATGTCCTGTGCTCTTTCTTTCCTCTTTGCCATTATGCATTCTTGCTCACTTGATAAAGGTGATTTAAGTCAGTGTAAGGAGTAATTCAGAAAACCTCAAAGTACCATACCGCCTACTTCCTCAGACTTCGGAGATGCTGGACCGCACCCAGGCCAGCTGACAGAGTGCTTTGATGGTATGATTTCACAGTGTGGTATGGGGACCCCCTTGGATCCTCAAGACACTTTCAAGGGGCTCATAAGGTCAAAACAGTTTTCAAAACAATACTAAGGTATTAATTGCCTTTTTCACTCTTATTCTTTTACAAGTGTATTCAGAGGCTCTATGATATTAAAGAAATTTGTAAAAATGTAAAACAGTGTCAGTCTTTTCATTCATTGTTTTTGTTTTAGAAAATATAGTTGTTATTCATAAATATATGTTATCTGTGTTATCATGTAATAGGTTTGCTGTCCAAGGCCCTTCCCTAAAAGAGGGAAACCCAGAGTGAGGAGCGTTCAATCGAGGTGCTTCTATTGGAATAGAACCAGCAGATACTCAGGCCCAGGCATGACGCTCCGTGGAGTGATAGAGTATGAGGTCACAGGCTGGCTCGGGTCTACTTCTCAGCCAATGCCATGTGGCATTGTAGAATTCATCCCAATGCCATGTGACATTGTAGAATTCATCCCAGCCTCTTGAAAACTAGTGATAGCACTAAAAGAGCTCTGAGATGATCTATAAGATCAAGATGTATCCAGGATCAAAAAAAATACCTATAGTGATCTGGACCTATGAAAGGGAACTGTTCCCTACCACTGGAACACCTCTCCTTTCTGGAAGTTTATCAAATCTCACCAAATATTCAAGGCAATCTGGACCCTCTTCTTAGGACATCTCCTCTCAGAACCAGCGTGTACTTGTCTCTCCCTTCTCTGAGTGTCTACATTCACCTCATTACCACCCAACTTAGCACTGAGGCATTGCCTTTTCTCATTTAATATTTTTGGACCACTGTTGACCACTGGTAACTGAAACCTTGAAAAGTGAAACCATGGATAATAGGGGACTACTATATGTATATCATCATATTTATAATTGATCACATATGCTTCTTCATCAAGAAGAAGTCTTAATCTAAAGAATCTTCATTATGAAAAGTTCTATGCATGGCATTATTTATTTTAATAGCTTTATTCAGATATAAGTCATATACTATACAGTTAATTCACTTAAGTGTATAATTCAATAGTTTCAGTATATTCTTAGAAATAAGCAATCATCACCACAGTTTTAGAACATGTTTATTACCACAGTGAAAAGTCCTATACTTTTGAGTTATCATCCTCTTATACACCATCCCTCCAGCACTAAACAACTACTGACCTACTTACTGTCTCTATAGATTTGGGTGTTTCATATAAGTGGAATCATATAACATGAGGTCTTATGTGACTGTTTTCTTTCACTTAACGTAATGTTTTCAAGTTCATCCATGCTGTAGCATGTATCAGTACTTCATTCCTTTTGTGGCCAGATAATATTCCATTATATAGATATATTGCATTTCATTTACCCAATCATCTATTGATGGACATTTGGGTTGTTTCCACCTTTGGCTATTGTGAACAGCACTGCTATGAACATGCATGTATAAGTTTTTGTTTGAACACTCTTTTTCAATTCTTTTCAGTACATACCTAGAAATAGAATGGCTAAGTCATGTGATAACCCTATGTTTAACCATTTGAGAAACTACCTGTTTTCCGCAGTGATTGCACCATTTTATATTCCCACTAGCAATTTATGAGAGTTCCAATTTCTCCACATCCTTGCAAAGTCTTGTTATTTTTTGTTTTCCTCCCTAGAATTATTGTAACCATCTTAGTGAGAATTAAGTGGTATTACATTGTGGTTTTGATTTTAATTTCCCTAATGACTAATGATATTGAGTATCTTTTTTCATTCACTTGTTGGCCAATTGTATATCTTCTTTAGGAAGATGTATATTCAAGGTCTTTGCCTTATTTTTAATTGCATTGTTTGTGTTGTTGAATTGTAAGAGTTCTGTATGTATTCTGGATTCTAGACCCTTATCAGATACATGGTTTGTAAATATTTCCTCCCATTCTGTGAGTTGTCTTTTCACTTTATTGATAGTGTAATTTCATGCATAGAAGGCTCTAATTTTGATGAATTAATTTTTTTATTGTTTGTGCTTTTGGTGTCATATTTAAGAAATATTGCCTAATAAAAGGTCACAGAGGTGTATGCCTATATTTTTTCCTCTAAGAGTCTTATAGTTTGAGTACTTACATTTGTATGTTTGATCTATTTTGAATTAGTTTTTATATATGTAAGAGATAGGAATCCAACTCCATTCTTTTGCATGTGGATATTCATTAGCCTCAGCACCACTGCTGAAAAGTTATACTTTGCCCCATTGAAGTCTTAAATCTTTGCCAAAAATCAGTTGAACATAGACACATGGGTTTATTTCTGATCTCTCAAGTCTATTACACTTATCTATATGTCTATCCTATGCCGGTACCTCAGTGTCTTGACTGCTGTTGCTTTGTGGTAAATTTTGAAATTAAGAAATATGACCCGGCAGGTGTGTCTCAGTGGACTGAGCATCATCTCATGCACCAAGACATCACTGGTTCGATTCCCCATCAGGACACATGCCAGGGTTGCAGGCTCAGTCCCCGGTAGGGGGCGTGTAGGAGGCAATGGATTGATGTTTCTCTCTCACATGAATGTTTCTGTCTCTCCCTTTCCCTTCCTCTCTTTCTAACAAAATCAGTAAAAACATTTAAAAAACAAAAACCAGAAATTGAGAAGTGTGAGTGTTCCCACTTTATTCTTCTTTCTCAAGATTGTTTTGGCTATTTTGAGTCCCTTGCAATTCCAGGAATTTTAAAATCAGCTTATCAGCTTCCACAAATAAGTTAACTGGAACAGAGCACTATTTTTGCTTATATAAATTTGGAAAGAAATCCCATAGCTATGTAGGATAGCAAACATTAATACTTCACTCTGTATAACTGAGTCTTGATAAAAATTCATATTGGAGCTCCAAATAAAGTTGACCATATTGTACTGTTGAATTTGAGGGGACATTGAATTTGAGGATACATTAATTTAGATAACTTAAAGATAACATAATCTTTCTTTATCTTTTCATCATAATTATTATGGGATTTATTTAGTGAGGCAGGAATTTATTATTACCTGCAGTTTTCAATAAGTTAATTTAGGCACAGAGAGCCTAAGAAATGACTTGCTCAAAGAGATAAGCTACTAAGTAGGGTAACCAACCATCCCTGTTTACCTGAGACAGAGAAACTTTCCAGAAGCCAGGACTTTCAGTGATAAATCTGGGAGAGGCCCTAGAAAACTAATCTGAGTTCGTCACTCTACTAGTAAATTGCAGAGGCAGGATAACAACTCAGGACCTTTATGTCTTGGTTTAACCCTTTCTCTTCCAGGTGACCTCATCAACCAGGCTTGACCTTCTCTGCTTTGAGAATTCTGCCTAAAAATCCTCTCTAGTTTCAGCTTTTCTTGACATACCTGAGACTTTGGCTGCCCTAACCCCTTTAGCAATTTCTTGTCTTTGGTGTTCTAGCCACACTGGTTCTATATTTTCTCCCGAGTGTGGGTTCTAATCATTTTCATTATGTTTGTCTTTCCTCTCTTCTTCAGGTGTGGGCTATAGAGGCAGAAAGAGTGCTTTTCTCTCCTTCCCATGTCATGAATGGGGACGCCATAAATACTGCACCTAACCAACAGGAAGTAAGTAGACATTCAAAACACCTGAGCTTCAGCGTCAGGTAAGTGCTGGGGAATCACCACTTACTAGAATTCAGTTATTATTTAAAGACAGGTGAGAGTCACATAGTGCCAAGAACACAACTTGTCTCTTTATTGCATTTCTATATGAATCATAACAAGGAACACACAGCCTAGTACAAATCGATGACCCGTCTCAGAGAGCCCACTCTGGCATCCACGGCCCCCCAGTCGTGGTAGCGCCTGTAGTCCCCGGGCCTCAGCAGGTACTGCCGCCCCCGGTAGCTGGGCATCTCGTAGAGGACCCAGTAGCCCTCCAGCACGTGGAGGGAGTACAGCTCATGGAGCCGGAAGCGATCATGGATGCAGGAGCAGTCCTCAGTGAGCTCAGACACAAGGCTTTGGTAGTCATCTCTCTCATACAGTCTGATCCTGTGAGAGCTGGTCTGTTGTGACAACAAACAAAAGAAGACATACATAAATTGTGTGCATCCTTAATATCTATAGAAGTGACTCAGTCAGCGTGCATCTTCGGGAAGCATGGCTTTCAAACCATCCTGACATAGATTTCCTCCCTACCCTCTCCTTACACTGTTGGTCTAACAAATTAGGAAGAGTCATAAAATAAAACTCACCTGCCCAGTGGACTGTCTTGTAGAAGAAACATTGAAACAAATGGGGTGAAAGGGGTTCCTCTGTAAGAAACCACCTGTCACAACCATATTTTATGAGTCTGCAGAGAGGATTTGAACTTCCTTTTCTGTTATGACTGCATCAAACTAAGTCCTACCAAGCTTGTTCCTTTCTAAGTTACTTTCGTATTCGTAGTGTACAACAGTTCCTACTCTGAGATGTCTGACATTGTGCCAAGTCACTTGTACCATTTGAACTTCTTGTCTCAAAGAAATTCTTATTTTATTTATATCTCTTTTTGCCACTGCAAATTTTTCTAGTCTAATTTTGGTCCGAATTCTTGAATCTGCTTGCCTCACCACATAATTTGGTGTCACCATTAAACACAACATAAACTCCACATGACTGAAAAACATTAAGTAACACTTTGGTGAGGATCCTGTCCCATGAAACCCTAACAAATGAGTTGTCTCTGATCCTTGTAAGAAGCCAGTTGATAATAATTTCTAGAAGACAAAAGCCACTTACAAGATGAAACAAATTGTTTCTAGGTCAGTATGATGACATACGGATGAACAATATAGAGAATGTATTGAAAACAATCACCAATTCAGTCAGAATACATGATACCTATATTGTTCTCCTGCAGTCTAGTAGTGTTTTTATCATTAAAAAGGAATTATCTACAGAGTTTTTTTTTTTTTTTTTTATTGAATGAGATGATTTTTATTTAGAAATTAAGGATCAGCCAGAGGCCATCAAATTTAATTTTAGAGGCTATGTTATTATGATTTCTTGTGCCCTGAAAACAATTTGTTACCCTTAAGTAAGAAAAAGGTAGAGATAAGGTTATTCATAATCCTGTTCATAGTTGTATTTTTTTAAGTGCTTGAGTGTCGGGCATTGCTATTCTTACTGTGAGGACTAGTCCTGAGTTGCAACACGGATGCTTTTACATCAGTCGGTTGAAGCAAGACTCACGTAAGGAATTACGCGGCAGGAGCGGACCGAGTCGCTCAGGCCCATCCACTGCTGGTGGTCCGAGTAGTCGCCACGCCGCAGGAAGTACTGGGGGCCCTGGAAGTTGGGGCGCTCATACAGCATCCAGCAGCCGCTGTCCACGCGGATGGAGCCGCAGCGGCTCAAGTAGGGCTGCAGGTTGGGGTGGTCGCTGCTGCACTCGAAGTGGTGGCCCTGGAAGCCGCGGTCCTCGTAGAAGGTGATCTGTAGTGGAAAACAGGGTGACAGCAGGCGGGCAGCTGGGAGGTACATCCTTGTACAGAAGACACTCAGCAGACAGGGTCCGGCGCGGGGGGCTCACCTTTGCCATGGTCGTGGACAGCGGATGATCAGCGTCCAGTGTGGTGGACACCGGAGTGCAAGTTGGTACATATAGCAGGACAGCTGCTGTGTTGGCAAGAACAACACAAAGGGGCCCGAGGGTAGTGCGTGAAAAGATTTCTATGTTATCTTTCTTTTTTCATTTGGGATCATGGGTCAGGGGGCTTTCATTCTCTCTGGCATTTTCGACTTGTCCGCAGTAACTCCAGTGAAAGGAATTGAAGTCAGCAGAGCCATTATGACCTTGGAGACAAAGGGCGCACTTCTCGTCCTAGGCAGCTCTCTAGAAATACATCACACGCCCAGCACTTTGTACTGTCGGCCTATGGAGACTGCTGAGATGGGGCTGCTGTTCCATCTGGGGGACTCATGACACTCCTACGAATTCCAGAAGGACCTGAAGTGCTAAGAGCAACAAAAATATCCTTTAATTGAAAAACGATTACATTTCCTAAATGATCTCATCAGTATAATAGGATTTTTTTTTTTAAATACAACTTTTATATATGTTTATATAGGGAAAAAAAGAGATTAGGACGGTGTTCGTTACACCAAACAGTCATGGTTATGAATGAATGGCAAGAGTATAGGTTCTAGTTTTGTTTTTATTTCTCCTTTGTGTTGTTTTCTGTTGTCTTAACTTCCTATCACAAATATATATTACTTTCAGGAGTTGAAAAGTAAAATCAATTAACATCGAGTTGATGGTAAAAAGCAGAAACTTTTGAAAACAGGCATATTTTGTCTTGTGACTCAACACTTCTCGTGGGGCTAAAATAAAGGGATCTCCTGAAATCAGCATCATGCTTTGCCTGTTTTCCATCCCTGATGCGTCGGTCTCGCGGAACCCAGCCGAGTGCCCGAAGAGCTTTTCCTTTGCTGCCGACCTGTTGATTCAGATATGCAGACGTACAGGATGACTCACCCCAGCTCATCATTTTTCATCCCACGTGCTCGTAGAAAGATGATACCAAATACCTTTGTGCTTCACGACCCATGAAGAGGCTCTAACAGGAGAGCCAAAGGAAACTAGCAACATGTCTGCAATGCCACTTGTGGAAGTCCTCAGGCACCATGTGAAACAAACATGCAGATGGTAAAGGGAGAGACAGCAATAGCCACAAAATAAAAATGTACCCACAGAACTAGACAAAAAAGAAAAAAAAAAAATTCTACAAAGTCCCATGAAGCTAGACACCTGGCAGCATACCCAGAAACCACTGATATACTTCTCTGTCTCCCACCTAATGCTGCAAGTCTACTGGTAAACCTCAGTGACTGTTTTAGTAGCTGTAAGTTCAGTTTTTGCACACATTAAACATACACACACACACACACAAACTGTTCTACAAAGATAGCACATCAAAACCTTAAGAAAAGTATAATCTGTACTCATGTTCATTTGGTCAAGTAGGTACTGCAGATATTTACACGCTGAGCCATATGTCTAATCAGCATTTTGGAAAGGTACTGAAGGACAGATGTTTTCTTTTCCTTCTAGTCATGATATTCTATTAAAAGAAAGTCTACACCTATTTTTCTTATAATGCTTTATTGAAATGATATTTAAATGTTTTCATAAGACAACATAGTAAAGACAATCAATGATAGATTAATTTTATTTTGGATTGAAACTTTGGAAAACTGTCTCCTATTCAACCACTTTGCAATATTCAGGGGTAAACATTTGTAAAATGTACTAAAAACAGCCTGCTCTGACATAGAAACATTCTTGGAATTCTCCAACCAATGGTCTTCCACTCACAACGGTCTTCCAGTTATGAAGTAGCATAAGATACACACATTGTTAAAACCCAAATGTAGCCATACAATTTGATTCTAAGAGAGAAAGCTCAACATCCAAAAATCATACTACAGTGCATGTTGCATCCAAGCTAACTGTAAAGAAAAATATGCTGGCAAGAGCTGCAGTTTTAAGATGTTTCTTTTCCTCTGCCAGAGACTGTATTATGAAGTCCCATGATGCAATTCCAAGTTTCTAAGTGACCTGCAAAATAAAAAGATGATTTTGGTATCAAGCACATCAATTCAACATGGACACAGACATTAGCTTTCAACTTATAGAAAGTTAAGGTCAAATAACAGACACTGAGTTATTGACAAAGATGGTTTGTTAAAATGAATGTAGGTACAAAAGAATGTCCATGGAACTGTTCTGAGACATTTGGAAATTGAGTTATATTTTTCAACTAAATACACTGAATCCCATACAGAAGGGGGAAAAAAAACATGATTGGGTCAATTGACAACATTTGATTACAGACAGTAGATTAGATCAAAGTATTAATGCTAGATTTTCTGAAGTTGATAACTATACTGTGGTTATTTAAGAGAATGACTGTTCTTAAGAAGTGCACACTGGCCCTGGCCAGTTTGGCTCAGCGGTTAGAGCGTCGGCTTGCGGTCCGGAGAGACCCAGGTTCGGTTCCCGCTAAGGGCATGTACTTTGGTTGCAGTTTGTCCCCGGCCCTGGTTGGTCGTGCGGGTGGCAGCCACTCGATGTGTCCCTTCACGTCGATGTTTCTCTCTCTCTCTCCTTTCCTCTCTCTCCCTCCCACTCTATCTGTACAAAAATGGAAAAATATCCTCGGGTGAGGATAAAAAAAAAAAAAAAGAAGTGCACACTGAAATATACAGGGATAAATGATATGGTGATGTAACTTCAAATGGATCGGAAAAATATATGTCTATATCTCTATACAAAGAGAGAGAGACAGGAACAGAGGAAGAGAGGGGGCAGAGAGAAAAAAATGATATAGTGATTGGAGCAAAACATTAACAATTGGTGAATCTGAGTAAAATGTATATGAAGGTTCTTTTTAGTATTCTTGCAACTTTTCTCTAAGCTCAAAATTATTTCCAAAGAAATGAAAATAATAAAAGTAATACTTTGTTTGACTAACCATACTCAAAGCAAATTATTTCTTTGCCCCTTAGCAGTTGTGAATTATTCTTGCAGCATATTATTTTGATTTTCTTCTATATTACTTTGAATTTAAACTTATATTGATCTCTCTCCATTTCTGATAGAGGGGTGTTGAAGTCTCCAACCAGGATAGTGAAATCATCTGTTTCTCCTTGCAGTTCTATCAGTTTTTACCTCACATAGTTTGATGCTCTGTTTTTTAGTGCATACTTGTTAAGGATTGTTATGTCTTCTTGGAGAATAAAACTTTATCATCATGCTGTTTCCTTCTTTATCCCTGATAACTTTCCTTTAAAGTCAGCTCTATCTGAAATTAATATAGCTACTTTTGTTTTCTTTTGATTAGTGTTAGCATGGCATATTTTTCTCTATCCATTTACTTTTCATCTATATGTGTCTTTATATTTCAAGTAGGTTTCATACAGAAAAGTTGAAGGAATTGTCCAATGAGATACATGTGCCCATCACCTGCTAATTCCGTAGTTAACAGTTTGCTGTGTTTGCTGTAACACACATCAGTGCATCTCTCCATCCCTCTACCCATCCATCAGTCCATCTTATTCTTGGGGGTAGCAGTTTACCCTGTGCCCTCCCCTTTCTTACATTTCCAAGAATAGATGTTGATTTCTCAGTCTGTCCAGCTTTGTGCTTGTTGGGGTAGAGTATTGCTATCCAAGCTCTTTCTGTGTGGAACTGGAAACGAGATCCTCAGGTTGGCCCCTCGCCATGTCTTCTTCCCTGCCGTGGTACTGTGAGTTCCTCGGGCGTGGTAATAATGGGGGCCTCTGCGTAGTGCCTGCTGTCATCCTGGCACTTTCTAAGCCTTCCACGTGGACTGACTCACTTAGTCCTTGTAACAACCCTCTGAGGTGGGGACTGCTATCATCCTCTTTTTATAGATGAAGCACAGAGAGATTCACTTAATAATTCACCCAAGTTATTAAATAGAGGAACCAATTTTTAAACCTAGTTATCTGACTCCAGAGTCCACACTCTTAATCACTATAGTAAGCTGTTTTCTGGCTCTTTGGTATGATTCTGTCCATTTCAAATTCATTTCCTAGTACTCTGCCCAGTATTGACCCTTTCCTAGGATATGGTGTTGTTCATACCCATTTTGATTAAAAAATGAGCTACTAATATCCATACAGTATAAAAGAAATATTTAAAACTGCTTGCCAGAATATCTGGATTTTCAATAAATAATTTTTCCTTTTCCCTTACTTTATGAAGACATTCAGTGGCTGGAAATACATAGAAAATTCTGAAAAAGACATTCTTTTTATCTTGAAGTTAAAAAATTGTTTATCAGCTAAAGGATATGATATAATATCTATAAGCTATAAAGAAAAAGACTAAGAAGCTCAAATCTATAAAATAAAAACTCTTCAAACAATAAAATATGAAGTTATATTTTTATACATTTATAGAATAATTTTTTAATAAAAATATTTTTCTTTATTTCTTGGTTATTTCTAATCTATCTGTGTAGTAAGACATACACGTGTAGCAATATTTGAATATCACAAGAAATACTAACAGTGATTATTTTTAAGGAGTAGGAAAGGGTATAGGGCAGAGAGGTTCTTTTACTTTTCATTTATAATTTTTGCATTGTTTGAAATTAAGCTTGTACACACTTATTTGAACCTACAAGATAACAGCTGATTAACTTGTGAATAGCATTTCTCAAACACTAAAAGATAATAATGGTTAATATTCATTTAGGGTTTACTCTGTGCAAGCACTGTTCTAACCTCTTAACATGCATAATCTCAGGTAATCATCCCAACAACCTTGAGAGAGCAATACCACCATTATTCTCATTTTGCAGAAGAGAAAACTAAGGAACAGAGAGGTTAAGTCACTTGCCTGAAATCACACAGTTGGTAAGCAGTATGTTTTAGATTCAAACCCAGAGCATCTAATTCTAAAGGCTAGACTTTTAACTACAATATAAGTAAAGTACTTCCCAGCATCCGGTATCATTTTGGTTCAGTTTGTGTTTTTAAACCTACTTTGTTCTTTGGTTGTGTGTCCAAAGATAGATTTTTTGTTGATTTCTGTTCTGTGTCGTTTGCTTCCCTTGTAGAGCTGCTGGTGGCATTTTTATTCGTTGCTCCCCTTCTTAACTTGACACCTAGAGACACATATAAGAACCATATCTGTACAAAGAAAAAACCTAAAAAAAATGAGTCCACCCACAGTTTTAGATCTTTCCCTTCATGACTACTTTGCTCCCATTACCAAAGAGTCTAAAAAATAAGACTTTCCTGCCCTGGCCGGTTTGGCTCAGGTTAGAGCATCGGCCCACAGACCAGAGTTTCGGGTTCGATTCTGATCAAGGGCTCATCCTGGCCCTGGCCCTGGTCGGGGTTGTGTGGCAAGCAGAGAGTCGATGTGTCTCTCTCACATCAATGTTTCTCTCTCCCTCTCCCCCTCCCTCCCACTCTATCTGAAGATAAATGGAAAAAACATCCTCAGGTGAGGATTTAAAAGAAATAAGACTTCCCTGATTTCTATAATAGTGGGAAATCGAACCATAAGTGCTCCTGGTTCTTGTTAATTAAGTTTGACCTTACTTGGTGAGGTCCCTTTCTCTGAGCAGGTGGGAGTTCACAGGCTTACTCTGTTTGCGGGCATACTCTGCTGCTTTGGGTGCTGTTAACATGGCAAAAGGGTGCACGGAGAGGCGGAAAGGTGGAGCTCGGGGAACCTGGAAGGACAACAGTTCCACTTTGAAAAGCTGCACACGCTTGGTCTGTTAACACCTGCCACGTCTGGCGCTTGGCCGCTTACCCAACCCACAGCCCTTGGACGTCACTAACAGTCCACTGGGGAAGCACGCGTGTCATTGCCACGCACGTTCACACACTGCTCCAGCTCGCGCGCTTCGTTCCTTTCGCCTAGAATACGTTTTCACACGCCGATGCTCTGCCAACAGTTCCCTTTACCAGAAACAGCTAGCTCTTTCCTCCTTTCCTGCTAGAGGCTCTCACTTTTCCTACGGCTCCTACTTTTCCTTAGAGATGTAGCTCAAATATCACCTTTTCTGAGAAACTTGCCCCACGTCTCCACACCTTCGCTCTCCCATGCTGGCCTCCTGCCCCCACCCCACTGCAAGGCAGAAACTCAGAGCACGTTGTCACACGGAACACACCCAGTGTGTTGTAGTTCTAATCCGCTGTCTGCTGCACTGCTCGGGAAACTTCTTCAGGGATACGAGTGTCCATTCATTCATTCATTCATTCATTCATTCATTCATTCATTCCACGAGTTTTCAGCAAGCACCTGCTATGGGCCAGGCTGTTTTAGGAGCTGTGGTTAGTAAGCTAGACAAGGTTCCTGCCTTTCTAGGGCTGAGTGAAGAGAGACAATAAACTATCAGACAACCAGAGTAATTCTGTACCGTAAGTTTAATAAAGAAACTGGACGAGATGATGTGCTAGGGAGTGATGTGCTAGGGAGTGACTGGACAGCCACTGCGGACAGAAGGGACAGAGGACCTCTGGGCCGGGAGGAAGCAGTGTTTCAGCTGAGGCGTACAGGGTGAGCCGCGCCAGCCATGAGGAGCTGGAGAAGTGTTCCAGGAACAGGGAACCAGGTCTTCTTGGGACAAGCTTTGCTTTCCAGACACAGAAAGGAAGCCCATGGTGGCTGCAGCACCGTGAGAAAGGGGACACTCGCAGATGGGGCTGAAGAGGGAGGCATGTGGGTCCTTGTTGGTGATGGTACGGAAATGTTCGCCGAAACGGACTCCAGCATGCAGGAAGCCTCGGAAGTATTTTTCAGCAGTAGTGTTACAGGTCTGATTCAGGTTTTTAAAAAATCCCTCCGGCTGCTATGCAGAGAATGGATTGGAGTGTGGAAGGAGAGAGGCTGGTTAACTACCTTAAACTCTTATCTCGAATGCCTAGCCACCTCAGAGGGGCACTCTATTTTTAACCTCAATCTTTAATTCAAATGGCAACAATATGTTTTGAGAGTTTACTTCAGCCAGGCCAGTGTGGCTCAGTTGAGCATGGACCCATGCACCAAGAGGTCACCGGTTCGATTCCCGGTCAGGGCACATGCCCAGGTTGTGGGTCTGATACCCAGTGAGGGGCATGCAGGAGGTGGCCAATCAATGTTCTCTCTCATCGATGTTTTTATCTCTCTTTCCCTTCCTCTCTCTCTAACATCAATAGAGAAAAAGAAATGGAAGTATTTAAAAAAGAGAGAGAGTTTATATCCAGTATTCATCTCCAGTGTTGTAAGGAATTAAACATAAGCATAAAGCATGGCCTCTAACCTCAGAAACACGTAATCTGTTCAGAAAGATGACCCTGAAACATGGAAAGTAATTGAAAGGAGGCTTTATATAGGTATGGGGCAATTGTGACTATAATAATAGCCCTTTAGAATAACGTGTGCCAGGAACAAAAAAAAAAAAAAAAGAGAGAAAATTGGCTCATGTCATTTTTTTTGTTTGTATTTTTTTTGTTAATCCTCACCTGAGGATATTTTTTCATTGAATTTTAGAGAGAGTGGAAAGGAGGGAGGGAGAAAGATATCAATGTGAGAGAGACACACGGACCGGTTGCCTCTAGCACAACCTTGACCAGGGCTGGGAATCAAATCTGCAACTCAGGTACGTGCCCTTGACCTGAATTGAACCTGAGACCCTTTGGGCTAAGGGCCAACACTTTACCACTGAGCAAACCAGCCAGAGCTGTCGTTTTTTGTTGTTGTTTCTTAGTGGCTAGACACTTACATAACTTATGAAGTGATCGCCTTGACAAGTCTAGTCATGTGTTGTTCTTGATGCACTTGATGCACTTACAGACGGATGCTCTCCATGCTCCAGTTGCCCTATGGACTGGGGCAGATGGAACCCAATGACTTTAAAGGCCACTTTTAGCTCAAATATTCTGTGAGTCCTGATAATCTGATGACTCATGCAAGCAGTTCATGTAGCTGTGTGGTTTATATGAAAAATTATTTTAAAAGGATGAAATTTAAATCCTAAACTAGACTTAATCATATCTCTTTTTTACTTTAATGCTACTTACTAATGTCATCATTGTGTCATAGCAACTTATTATTATGATTGTTATTTCTTGATTCAACTACTTCTTGAGTGCCAAATTATGTCCAAAGCACATTCAACAAAAATGTCTTCCAACTGGAAGGGGTGGGGGAGAAGAAGGGGGTGTGCAAAGACCTCCTTTTCCTTTTTCTCCATCAAACAGAACTGAAGAATTATATATATATATTAGAGAGAGAGGAAAGGAGAAGGAGAGAGAGAAACATTGATGATAGAAGCATCAACATCAATTGGCTGCCTCCCACATGCCTCCTACTGGGGATCGAGCCTGCACCCCAGGCATGTGCCCTGACTAGGAATGGAACCAGCAACACTGCATAGGTTGACACCACACCAGCCAGGCTGAAGAATATTTTTATTGCTGGCTTTATTTGTTGAAGGGAGACCGATGCTTTTTTCCTTTAGTTTAAAATCAAGTAGGAGAGTTGATATTTATCTGAAACTATTTGTGTAACCCTCACTTATGTGACCCTTAGTTGACTTCTTCTATGGGTCCAAGGTCCTCAGCAGAAAAATGGCTATCAGCAAAAAACGCCTCCCGGTCAGGAGAAACGCCTGAAGCTAATAAAATTGGACAATGCTGGGCCCATGATGCTTTTCTGTCACCAGGTGGCAGCAAAGAGTCCTGAGACTGCCGTCAAGCCCCTGCACAGTACCCACATTGGATCATGTGGGCAGTTCTAGTGGCCGGAAATTCTACATAATCTGATTAGTATTCAACGGGGCTTTAAGTTCTTGCTTGGGAAGAATTTTAGCTGTTGCTTAGGGGATATTTTATCCGAAGGAATCAAAGGTCATTCAGACACATGCAGCAATTAGAGAGGAACTTTTGGCAACAACTTTTTTTTTTTAGCAACTGATCGCCTAGTTAGATTTTTTTGAAATTATTAAGCCTCAAGGACTCTTTTTAAAAAGCTCCTACAACTTAAACTATTTGAAATGCTGTATTTCCATTGAGAGGCTCTGCTAACTCCTTGTTTAAGAAGCGGAGGAGGTCCCTCGGTGCCCCTAACGCATCTGCAAGAGAAAGGCCTGAGCAGAGAGGGACTTAGAAGGCCCACAGGGGGAGATGACCCTCAGAATCTTATATTTGTAGCTCAAATCATATCACACCTTTTGTGATATTTCATTGTTTAAAATAGGCAAAGTTTACTATGCTAATAAAACACATGGATGCTTGACGAGCTATTTAATTTTTAAAATTTTAGAACGGGGTTCTTAACTAGCTGTGATTTCGCCTCTTAGGAGACATTTAGGAAAGTCAGGACCAATTTTTGGTTGTCACAACTGGGGGCTGGAGGGAGGCTGCTGGTATCTAATGGATAAAGGGTTACCCATTAGAGATGCAGCTGAACACCCCACAAGGCACAGGCCAGCCCCTGACTCCACCCCCTACACACACAACAAAGAATTATGTGGTTTAAAATGTTGAGAAACCCTGATTTTGTGGTACACAGAGGAAATCAGATACTAACCCTCAAATACCAGAACCTTAACCATAGCCAGTATTTTGAAGTTACCAGGTGCCAGTGCTAAGGGCTTTCCTGGTACGAATTCACTTCATTTCCCCAAACAACCCTATCTTCTTGTCCCTCTTTTTACAAATGAAACCGTCTGACAAAGCTAAGAAGATTTGCCCAGGATGTTTCTGCTTGTAGCTGGTGGAACTGGGGTTTGAACCCCAGCAGTCCGGCTTCAGAATCCTCATGCTGAAACCATTATACACACTGGGTTTCACATACAAATCAATAAATGCGCTGACACTCATCTCCTGTATCAGTGAACAAATGCAGGTCTTTGAAGGAAAGTCCCTCTATGAGGATATTATCTGTTTCTCTTCAGAGTTGGTCATTGTGTAGTCTATGTGCACATCTGGGCTTGTTATTGTTGGTCATTGATTGTAAGGACAGAGACTGTATATAACTGCACACAGAAGGTGCTGAATAAAGGCTCTTTAATGAATAAGCAAATGACCAGATGGATAGGTAGAGATTGGCTGGCCCACCTTTAAACGTCCTGGCTTCCCATGGCTTCCCACTGGGTATTGATTTATTAAGAAACAAAAGACTCAGAAAGAACGTTTGACTCTTCCCTCTTTCCTGCCCAAGAGATTCAGACAGAGAAACCTGCTTCAGGAAGGACTCAGGAGGAATTAAGTATGGTCAACCAGAGGGCTTCAGGCAGGTGCCTGTTAGATACACTCATGTCCCATGGTTTCTGAGTCGCCCAGCAAGGATTTGTCTGCCTTGTGTGTTCCGCTCTTCCTCATCTACCTGTGAATCACCATTCCCACTTCTGAAATCTAATACCCAGCTCCCCACCCCTTTCTCCTTTGTCCAAAAATGTCTTATAGATCCAATGTTGCCTCACTGTCTTTGGAATTTCCATGAAATGAGCATGCCTATGTGAATTCTCCATGCACATGTATTTGACTTTGATTTTCTCCTTTTGATTTGGTTATTAGCACAGAGAGAAGTTAAAAGGAGGAGGAGAAAGTATTAATATTTTTTAGCACCACCCCCCACCATCTGATTTGCTCACTATTAAATTCCCTGAACTTAGAACTATATTGAATGAATGAATAGAGTTGAAACTAGAGTGATCAAGGAAACTGGAGTCTCAGGACCACAGCCAGGTTACAGATGGATTCAGATGACAGGACATTTGGTTTCAAAGTTACAACACTCAGTAAGACTTCACTCCTAAGCTGGACCTGGTGAGCTCTCATACAAACTCGCTATTTGCAGTGTGGTCTACGGGTAAAAAACCCAGGGAGGCAGGTGTTCCTGTAGCCACAGCCCTTCCCAGGCCCTGGCCTCCCTTCCAAATCCAGTGGGGGCATCGACAGCAGCAGAAGGCCTGGGTGTGAGGGCGGGGCTCTCCCAGCCGCCTTCCCTGACTCCTTTCTGCTGCACACCCCTGCCCCTCCAATTTCCCTTCCCTCTCCCCTCTTCTAGAGGTATCCAAAGGTAAAGGGATCAGCAGTTCACCTCTAAATAGCGGTCCATATTTGAACGTTTACTAAATGTTCATACATTCAAGCCCAAAGAGGAGGAGGGACCCAGGGCTCCAAAGTCACAGAGTCGCAACCCAGACCCAGTGTCTGAACTCTCAGATCATTGCTGCTTGTCTGCAGGAGTCTGATGGGAAGGAGAAATGTGGCAGCAATAAACCAATAGCTCGTGAGAATGAACTTGTAGATCTTGTCCTTGTCCTGGCCTGCTCCTAGCACCTTGTCCTGATTAAATAAACAGAAGGCCACCTATGAAGCTTTCAGAGGCAACCGGAGGAAGTACCAGCTGGCCTGGTACTCCTCTAAATGAATTTGTCCGCTAAGCGAATGTGTTAGATTTCAGAACTTAGACAATAGTATGAATAGCAGGATAGATGAGTGCTGACCCAGTTCACCCAGGTCCCTTTAGCCTCAGCTCCCTCCCACAGGTTCCCCCCCACTTATCGATAACTGCCTCGGCTTCTGTCCTTGCTTGCTTGTTCTTCCCCAAGGCCAACAAGAAATGCCAGCTGCAGAAGTTTGTAACAAACCCCATAAAACAAAAAATCAGCCCTGGCCAGTTTGGCTCAGCGGTTGAGCGTCAGCCTGCGGACCAGAGAGTCCTGGGTTTGGTTCCCGCTAGGAGCATGTATTACAAAATAAAATAAAATAAAAAATCAGCTGAAAGTCGGGGCTGATCTCCGAGAACTGGGGATCAGTTGCCGGCCAGCTTTGCTCTCTATTTGGCTTTAATTCGGCTCTGATGGTCTCTTGGTTCTCTCGTGCCACAAGAGTCCTAGTTCTACATGCTGATGCTGTGGTACATCGTGCAAGAAGGGTGCTTGGGCTCACCTGGTCTACATTACAAAAAGTGCAAGTGAGACATTATGTTAATCAGAGACTCTAAGCCTGGTGTTCTAGTCTCTGCCTCTACTCAGCTGTACACCAAATACATTTATTATGAACACCGTCCTCCATGTAAGGAGAGCATTTTACAAACATTTATTACCCAAGTAAGATATGGCTACATCTGATTTTGTACATTTTGATATAAAACTATTATTTTGTGTCTTAAAATACAACATTATAAATGTACCAAATAAAGAAGTTCTCTCTAAAAATGTCTTATATTGATAGTCTCAGGACACCCCTACCTTAGAAACACCAAAATTGGCAGAAGAATGCGCCCCATAAATTTTAAAGACTTCTTCAATTGGAATGCTGTTCTGTTAAACAAAAACAAACAAAAAAAATGTATTATTATATCAGGGCTTTTCTTTTAGTACAAAACAAAGCTGTTATAGATCCAGTATGTCTCTCACTGTGCCTGCATGTCATGGGCACAAAATAAATTAATTCTAAATAAATTGATAAATCAAAATATGCATAATCCAATTACTTATGCATCTCATTCTGATTTTTTTTTGCCTCTCAGATAAATGTTTTCTGTCAATACAATATAGAAGTCAAAGTCTTTTCATTATAACTTAAAAAATGAAACATTTAATACTAGTAAATCTTAAACATTTACAAGCATTGATTGAAAAAGGAAATGCATTAATATAAAAATGTGCATAGAAAATATAACATCTCCATATATGCAAATAGTATTATTTTCCTTACCATTAAGATTCCAGCATAAGATGATAAAATCATTGCTTCTCTTTCTCTGTGGTTCGGATACGTGGGTCGGCCACGAAATGGCCTTTTCCTGAGGAAGAACATAAATGTATAAGAATGGAGGGTTTATTCTTACTGTTTTTTATACCTGCTAAGGTTGTGATAATAATCCCTAAGTAATCTCCAATGGCTGTGTGTGCTATGCACTTGTTTACAAAATCGATATGATTAATCTGCCATCAGGAAAGTACATACTTTGAATTTCTTTTTATTTTTTTGTGGTACGTGTCCCTAGCAGGAACCGAACCTGGGACTCTCTGGTCTGCAGGCCAACACTCAACTGCTGAGCCAAACTGGCCAGGGCTGAATTTCTTTTTAATGAAAAAAGGTAGACATTTGATGGAACCCTGAAAAATAAATGAGCTATATGGTTTAGAGCTTATTTATCTATCTATCTATCTATCTATCTATCTATCTATCTATCTATCATCTATCTATCTTTATTGTTGACACTATTACAGATGTCCCCCCCCATTCCAATCCCTCTTTGCCCACCGCCACACTTTGAATTTTGGATGTTCCAACAGTGGTGATGAATTTGCCTTCATTTATCCATGTTTTCACAGCTATCAAACATTGGCTGATTGGTCACTATGGTGGACAATGAGGGATTTGCCCACCAGGGTCCTTTCCCTTCTTGTGACCCTTTGCTTGGGGGAACTGCCTTACTTCACTCCAGTGTGCTTCAAGGGAAGCTGACGATCCCCCCAGATTCCAAGGAGTGGGAAACACACTGTGGACTCAGCGAGTCAGGGTATTCCATCCCCCACTCCACCCCAGACAAGTCAGGGTAAACACAGCTATTGAGACACAATTCTGTGATTTTTAAACATCCATTCTCCCCTGGGCCGAATTTTGCAATACAGTAGGCTGAAACTAAGAATGGTGTCTACCCAGAGCAAATAGTCAAGAGGCAGATCTTAAGGACATGCTCTGCGTTTTGAATTCAGCCTGCCTCGGACAGACCTACCCTTGGATAGGTCTTCAAACACAGAAGTAGTAAATCTCCTTCCCCTCTTTTAAGTCTGTTCAAACTGGTTCAAACCCTAACGGATACAGCCACCCAGGACCAGGTATGTGTTTTAAGGTCACAGAACAGAGAAAAATAACTGGCCTCTGGAATAAGCTGTTCAGTTCTGGTCTCATTAGCGTCACGTTCCTACCAACTGAGTGTGTCTGCCTGTCACCCCTGGGAAAGTGCTAGTAATCCTGGATAGAAGATTTTTCTATGATTCAAACAGCTCAACTCAGGTACATATCTGGTTAAATGCTTAGGAAGTTGTGTTTGATAGTCCTTATGAAAATATTGCAGCCTTTACCCACAGAATTGGCCATCTTAACAATCATGGCAAGTACACAATAAAGCACAGTCATTGTTCTAAGGGAGAATAATCTATACAAGAAAGATTTTCATCTGATAGAAGCCAATTAGCAGAGATGTAACACATGCAAACACTATGCGACTTCCCCAACTTAAAAACTGTGGGGTTTCTTCAGGTTTCTAGTTAGAGAGGGATACTCCCCCGCAGTGTTTTCCTATCAGAGTGTTCAAGGTGGAAGATACCAGATAGAACTTCCTCTTTGATTTTTCAGAGTTACACATTAAAAAAAAACAAAAATGATGTCAACTTACACTGTCTCCCACTCCAGCCAAGCTAAGTCTTCGGAGCGATCCAGCCATTGCAAAGCGACGCTGATGGCCGAGTCGTAGTGTGCCTGGAAGCAGCACGGAGGGCAACCAGCTTAGACACCTGCCAGAGCGACCCTGGCCCAACGACAATGGCACTGCGAAGCCTGCTCTACTATTTTGTCCGCAATGGTGAGGATCATCACCTCTGTCCAGTAACCTGGCACTCGCCAGAAATCATTAGAGATCTGTAGGCAGTGCCTTTAGAGCAAGGTTGTTTTTGTTTTTGTTTTTTTTGTTTATGTGGACCAAGAGGGAAAGGATAGATTCCTGGAAAGAATACCGAAGTGGGAATTAGGAAATCTGGGCTCACATCTAGGGGTGGCCAACAACTCATGGCATATCCTTAGGTGAGCAATTGATGTTCTCTGTTTAATTTCTTTTTTGCTTTTTATTTTACTTTATTTTTTTTCATCACCATTTATCCCCCATACCCTCTTCTCCCTCCTCCCACCACCCCACAATCACCACATTCTTGTTCCTGTCCATGAATTCTTCCCCCTTTCCCCCCATTTTTGCTCAATTCCTCCACCACCACCCCCAACCCCTTAAAATTTTGAAATAGAGAAAGGTGAAGGTGGATGAAGAGGGACCAGAGAACAATTTCCAATTCTGTGAGTAGAATGACAGAAATGTGCTCCCACCGCTCAGGGAAAGTGGTCTGTCCACTGGGGGAATCCGGGGAGGCTTCAGAGAGGAGGCTTCAGCAGAACTGGGGCTCGAAGGATAGAATTTCTGGAGGAGGAGAAGGACCTCCCAGGTGGAGGGGCCATGAGCAAAGGACTAAGGTAGACCCGAGTAAGTGACCTGCTGAGAGCCTCACACCGAAAGCTGAGGGCCAATCCCAATGTCCATTGCTATCCTCATCCCCAGGAAAGGGAAGGTCAGTTTGGCTTCTGTATTTCTAGAGAGGTTCTAAGGTTCTATCTCACTCCCACCTTCTCTAAACAACGTAATTATTTCTATTTCTTTCAGGGACTGGACCAAACTAAAAAGTGAATTTAAAAAAGAAGAAAAACAATGGAGCGTGATCCATTGTTGAAACTTAAGCCAAAGACTGGTGCATGGACAAGTAGTGCTGTCATCACTCACTGGAAATGCCAATTCCCAGCCCCACCCCCAACCTCCTGAATCACAGCGGTCTGGTAATAAGACCTCATTAAAGTTTGAGAAGCAATTATCTAATTGATTTAATTTCTCCATCCAATATATGCACAGAGAAGCACTTGAGAACACGGAGACTCAACTGCTTACTCAGCTCCAGGGAGTCAGGCAGGGAGAGGGGAGGGGAGGGAGAGAGCCATCCTTTTACACTGGTGCAGGAATAGAAAATGGGTACGATCAAAAGCTGAGGGCTTACTCATTTCTTTGGACTTAGATCCTTACGCGGTTTCTTCCTTAACTTATGTGGAGTGAGCTGTCATTACAGAACATGAATAATAAAAGAAAGAATTTTAGGATTATTCATTTCTTTGATTTTCTCTATTAATGAAAATAGTAAAAGACAAAACCAAACCAAATGCCCCGTATTATACATGACAGCTAGTGTCTAAAAAATTCTAACATCCTATGTAACATGTGTGCTTGCATCCATTTTGCTTTTTACTCTTTTCTAATAGCAAACGCCTCATGACTTATATTTTCACATTCTTTTGGCTTTCGGTTTAATGAGTTGAAAAGACCACATGGAGAATGCTAGGATGAGAAGATGAGAAAGAGAACATTCGAGAGGGTCAGGGGTAGCCTTGTTTATTACATACATTAGACCCTTGTTACGCCCCCTTCATACACATATAACACACTGGGACTCGCCCCGCATGCCTTTCTTTACCATATCATCTAGAAAGGTGAGTTGCCTTCTTCCTTTTGGGTCAAATTCATTTTCCCGAAGTCTGATGCCAATATAATCTCCCCTTAAAAGCAAGAGAGCAGGATTGAACCACTGGCAATGACACGGGGGCTCAGTCTGCAGAAGGGGGGTCCTGCCCAGCCCCTCCCTCCTCTGCCAAACACCAGAGCAGTCACTGAGGGGCTGAGTGTGCATTTCCTTCTTTCTATATAGAGAACTATTTGTCTACATTGTGACCAGAATAACAATATTTTGATTTGAAGAGCAAGTCGGCAATGCTGCAGGCTTAAAATGTCTCACCATAATTAATCTAAACCCCATGTATCTAAAAATTAAACTCATATAGTGGGCACAGAATGTATAGGAAAGCAGGGAGTCTGATAAATCCCCGCAGACAGAGAAGGTTTACAAAAACAAAAGGATTGAGACCCACTGTTTAAAATAAAGATTCCCTTTCTGCCTGTGTTAAACTAAGGCAGAATGTCCAAGGCTGATGAATTTTAGATCTATGATATTCTGTACAGATGTATTCTTTTGCCCGAAGGCCTTTTCTCATTAGAATGCAAATACCCTTAGGAGGAGTTATGCATAAAAATATATTAGTGATTCCAGTTTAGTGTATCCTCATCAGATCCTTCCAGAACAGTGACTTTTGATAAGAAGAAAGGCACTGGAAGTGTAAAAGAAGTGGGTGCTATTCTGGGAAAATCAGGAAGAGGATCTGGGTGCAGGATAAAGGACCCTGGGGTCTCCGAGGTCCCTCTCCACAAATCTCTCGTCTTTCCATAAGGCCTCACTGCGGTGGTCAAGGTCTTTACCACACACGTTGGGCAAGTAACCCTGTGAGCGGTAAGTCTGTGTCTGCCTTCTAAAACATTTCTGATTCATTCAGCTTAGACTGGCAAAAATTCTCAAATCTGTTCTTTGTCATTCCAAGGCACTTTATTTAAAGCACCCTATGCCCTTTCCTTGGTTATAAAATTACATTTATATCACTTTTGAAATTCCAGTTCTAGGTGGAGGAATTGACATTCCTGATTATGGCTTGTTCTTTATTAGGTTGACCTCCAAACACAGACATGCAAACATGTGTGAATTCATACATAGTTTATTCCACTGTTTCTTAAGGACTTGCTACAATGATCTTAGTAGGCTGAGAGAGGACATTTGATGGGGATTGTGACAAGGTCTTTGATGAAAAGGGTATTATTGTTGTGCCTATAATACATATGAAATAGGATGTAGCCCCTCCTTTTTATATGGTCTGCTATTTTCACCAACCTCTTAACAAAGTACCAAGTCAAAGCAAAGCTAGCACAGAATAAAACAAATTTTCCATGGGAAGACTTAATATTTTCTTTGTTTGTTTAAAAATAAAAGTTCAGATGGCAAGAAAAAGGAGATGAATTACTGAGTTGATCCAACTGACAATCAAAGAGGCAGAGGCTACAATTTAAATGCCGGGCCTTTAGGCACATTTTCAGAAACCTCCCCTGTATCTTTCTCCAGCAGAGCCCTTTCAAATGCACACACTGCCCAGCACAGGCCGGCTGGGCTGTGGTCCCAGATCTCAGCCTCTGGAACAGGGATGCCTTCGATCAGGAGCATGCTGATGGCAGAACCATCCTCCCAAGAGATTCAGCATCGGGCTTTGCACCACATGTGACCTCTCTGGCTGGAGACAGAGGCCAGACCATCTGGCTTTTTTTGATAGTGCAGGAATAAAATCTTCCTTAGATTTTTACCCTCCTGCCAATATCAGACCATCTATAACATTAAACCCACCAAATGCTAAGTATAATAAATGGAAGTTATTTGCAATCATACTTACAGGAGCTTTTTCATTTCCTTCTTTAGGAGTCGTCTTTCCATGATTAAAGGCTTCAGCAGCTGAGCAGGTATCTGCAGCTTCTACTGCACCTGATAGCTATTGGGAGGACACAGCCTCTCTGAGCCTACAAGCTACAGCAGCAAATCAGAGAGAATTTGAGTTAGGGATGCTATCACTCCAAATACCAGTCATGGAGTCCCAGGCTCTGGAAGGGATCCGAGCATGCGCAGAGCTCAGGCCTCTTATCCAGCAGGTTCCAGGTCAGAAAGCTGTCTGAAGGCCAGTGCACTGTACCTTGAGTTTATCTGACGCTACTTATTCCTTGCAAGTTTTTTCAACAGTCATCATTTACTTATCCTTGCAATACACTAGCAAGCAAAACAGACATGGCTTGTGTACTAGTGGATGAGACTATTTGGGGTGAACTATCCAAATGTGGATGGTTTGTGACTTGAATATGTTTGAGCTCTGTGCACATTCAACCTAGAGACTCCCGGGGAATTCACTCTGGTGCCATGGCTCATACAGTTTTCTATAGAACCCATGTGCAGCAGGTCCTTGAAAGAACATGTGGTTGTGACAAATGTGAGGCCATGTCTTTAGCTCCTACCCCAACATTGAACTAGAAATTGGAGTTCAGGTGATGGGGTCAAAAGGGTTCTGAAGTCACAAAAAGAAGTTCACCCAAAAAATTATATCACTATTGAATGTGGCGCCCAGGGAGCAATATAAGTGGCATATCAACTGTAGCTGCAATGATTTTTTCTTTCTTTATTTTATTTTTATCCTCATCCGAGCACATTTTTCCTTTTTTTTTTTTGTTCAGATATATAGAGAGAAACATCGACATGAAAGGGACACATTGAGTGGCTGCCACCCGCATGACCCAACCAGGGCTGGGGACAAACTGCAACCCAGGAACGTGCCCTTAGCGGGAACCAAACCCGGGTCTCTCTGGACCGCAGGCCGATGCTCTAACCGCTGAGCCAAACCGGCCAGGGCTGGCTTATTTCTTTTAAAAGATTTAAAGCAAATTGTGATGATTGATTTAATATGTCAACTTGACTGGGTCATTGTGCTCAGATATTTGGTCAAACATTATTCTGGGGGTTTCTATGAAAGTGTTTTATGGATATTAACATTTAAGTCAGTGGACTTGGGTTAGACAGATTACTCTCCATTATGCGGGTGGGACTTATTCAATAGTTGAAGGCTTAAAAAAAACAAAGGCTGACCTCCCCCGAGCAAACAGGAATTCTGCCAGCAGACCGCCTCTGGACCGGAACTGCAGCGCGGGATTCCCAGCCTGCTGGTCTACCCATCAGGTTCCGGCCTGGCTATGCCGCCACAGTCATGTGAGCTAACTGCTTAACCAAATCTCCTGTTGGTTCTGTTTCTCTGGAGAACTCTGACTAATACACAAATAGAATAAAAATGTTAATATTTGTTTACTCTGGGATTATAGACTTATGGATGTTCATTATATTACTTTCTGTACTTTAGAAATGATGTGTATGTGTTTAAATTACTACTCTAAAAAAAATTTTTAGAAAACTTTTTTTTTTGGTACGTGCCCCTGGCAGGAACTGAACCCAGGACTCTCTGGTCCGCAGACCGATGCTCCAACTGCTGAGCCAAACCGGCCAGGGCTTTTTTTTTTTTTTAATGTAGCATGTAAGTGTGGTAGGCAGTTAGACAGACATGAGCAGAGCAAGGGCGAATGGCCAGGTACAGAAGGTCACCAGGGCCGAAAGCTCTGAGTGCCTAGCAATGGGGAAAACAAGGACCTCGTCCAGGGTAGCCTTTCCTCCCCTAGCATATGGGTGGCCACGCTGTTTAGACCCCCTGACCTTTCATATTCCTGGTCTTGCGGTTCGGACCCTCCTCTGACTCTCCTCTTCCGGCATGTTGCTAGTCATATGGATTAGACCCCATCAGAGGGCGAATGGACAAGGGGGCTGGAGAACAGCCCTTAATCATTAAGGCCCCAGGACAGTGAGGTTCTGACCCACATCAAATACATTTAGGCTTCAGTTACGTTTCAGCTCCAGGTCCAGAAAAGCAGCAAACCCAGACAAGCGACACCATGGCTGACCTCAGGACCAGTGCACTGACTAATGACAGCCTGCCCTGGCACTGACCCATCAGTAGAGAACATGATCCTGAAAAGACACATCTGGAAAGCGGATTAATATTCTATTGGGATCCTCCCCTGAGACCTGCAGATAAACACCCAGAAGGTGGGGTCTATGGAGCACAACCAGGGTTTCCTCCTCGCTTTCCCCAGGCTCGTTTTCCTTGTCTCTCTGTCTCCTAAGCTCCAAGGCCCTTCTTTTGCCTCTGTGACTTGTTTCCTGAGCCCATTTCTTCTACAGCTCACTTATTCTACCTCTGTGAATTTCTAAATAAACTTTCTCTTATAGTTCACGTCTTGACTCTGAGTTCTTTCTTAACCAGCACATACTCAAGTACCGAGATTGCTGAACCAAGAACCAAGCAGGCTGGTGCCGTGTGGCTGCTAACATAAACAATAAGCTTCATTTGATTCAGCTTTTGACAATCAGCAGAAAGGAAGCTGATTTAAACAAATTCTTCACCAGACCAATTTAATTATTTTGGACCATTCTTGCGCTCCTACCTCTGCCTTGGATGGGATGTAGAAAAGGTGAAAGGGGGGAAGAAAGTGGGAGCATTCCATTGGAAATTAATTAACAATAAAGACAGGAGAGTAAATCCCGAGAGCATATTACGAGCCAGAGAGGTGGCCACATGGCCTAGAGAAAGAAAAGCACCAAACCTGGGATGGGCAGCTACTGGGATGCGGTGTCTACTGCACCACTGACTGGTGTAGCTATGGCCAAGCTTCTAGGCTCTTCTGCACCCCAGTCACAAGTGCTGCCTAAAAATTGATGAGCCTGGTTAACATCACTGAATAACCTTTTGCCCTAACATTGTGCAAACACCACAAAAGCTAGCATGGATTATCATTCTTCAAATTCAATAATTTGAAAAACATTTGTTGGTAGAACATTTGTCCTACCTCAGTTCCTTGAGTGGTGGTGGTGGTAGTGGTGGCGGTGGTATATATGTGTGTGGTGGGATTAGGGGGCTCACTTAGCTTCTATGCCTTTTAAAAAAGCAAAAGACTTAGCATTTGTTCAGCCCATTTTGTTTTGTCATTCTGAGCCAGTCCTTTAAATTTCAGACTTAGAAATTCTAGATTTGTATTTCTTGGTTGCTAGGACAGCTTCCACTTAGACCTACCTTCCTTCCCCCCTACCACTCAATGTGGCCAAATATGCAAAGGTTTAAATCTTCAAAATATGAGCATCTCCCATCCCCACAGCACTAGGCTGGAGGTCCAGAGTCCCTGGGAGACTACCAACTCACTGTGTCACCTTGGGTAAGTGAATGCTTTCTGTGTTTTGTGTTTCCTCCTCTGTAAAAGAAGCATTAAATGGTTGAGAGGTCCCTTCCAGCCATAGAGTTCAGTGACTGACATGCATTGAGTAGCTATGCCTAGTTAAAAGAGGGCCATTTGTAGAAACTCTATTCAATTTAGATTTGAATTCACCCTTCTTTTTTGTCTATAGGGCTTTAACAAAAATAAGACTGGCTGGAAATGCACACAAAAGAGCTACTGAAAAGATGTCAGGGGTCTCAGGCATTGGCTATTTTATTAAAACCCACCCCCAGAAGCACAGCCCCCATCATCTGTAGAAATATCATGCCCTGAAGAATATCTGCACACTCCCTCCAGGCTCCCTCTGCACCCATATGTCTATGGTATGGGTCTCTCAGACTGTGTTCTATTAGAAGCCCGGCTCTTAACTAATTCCTTTCAGAATCTCACCAACTGGAGATCGATTCCTATGCTTTTGTTCTCTCCCTGCTTCTGAAGTCATACTTGAGCATCAGGCTGGTACTCACCTGATGTCAGGAAACAAATGCTTTATTTGTGGTTGCTAGGAAACAATGACTGAATGAAAATAATTATTTTTTATATTTTTTTTAATACACACCCAATGCCCCAATAGGAGAGAAAAAAATATATTTAGGACAGAATTGTGATCCTGACCTGGAGTCCACACATATGTTTTTACCTGAGTAGGCTTCATTTTCCCATCTAAATGATTAATCAGAAAGCAGAGAGGATGCAAGAAATCCACCTCCTGCAGGGTTTTTTTATAGCACTTGGCTGCAGACTCAGGAGTCAAATGGCCAAGCAAGGATTTCTGGGGAAGCCAGTGAACCTCTGACTCCTTACACACTCAGAGTGCCCCATGATGTCTTGGCTGTCATGAATAATGCTGCAATAAACATAGGGATACAGATATATTTATGAATAAATGTTTTCAAAATTTTAGGGTGGATAGGAAGACAAATTTGGGGGTCATGTGGTAATTCTATTCTTAATTTTTAAAGGAACTTCTATACTGTTTTCTATTGGGGCATGTACTCAGCAGTCAATGAGTTTTCCTTTTTCTCCAACACTTATTTCTCTTGTTGATAATAGCTATTCTAACTGGTTTGAGGTGGTATCCCATTGTAGTTTCAATTTACATTTTCCTTATAGCTAGTGAAGTTGAGTCTCTTTTCATATATCTTTTGCCCATTTGTATGTTCACTTGAGAAAGCCATCTGTTCATGTTTTCTGCTTGTTTTTTCATTGGACTGTTTGATTTTTTGTTAAGTTGAATAAGTTCTTTATATATTTTGATTATTAGTCTCTTATCAGAGAGATTGTTTGCAAGTATCTTCTCTCATTCAGTTGTTGCACTTAGCCTTTATTGTGTTAAGAAATTTCTCTTCTCTTTCTAATTTGTTGAACTTTTTTCATGAAAGAGTGTTGGATTTTGTCAAAAGTTTTCTCTGCATGTTTGCCCATGCTGTGTTTATTAAGATGGACTTAGGGTGTGTGGGGTTGGGGGGTTGGAAGATGGACTATTTGTAACCTTGTGCTAATGCATTCTCGCTATCTGGCCAGCCCAGGTGCTGTTGAGTGCTTCATTTGCATGTGAATAAGATAAGGTTTGCAAGGGTGGACTAATGGGTCCGAGGACTCAAGAATGTCTGTTTGTTATCTTTTAGTTTCAAAGTCTCTTTCCTACCTAAAAAGCAGGAG